AAATGCCCCCCCCCCCCCGCTCCGAAAAAGTCAGAATATCGAAATGTGTGCATCTTGCAGGCGTGTTTTTTTGAAACGAAACATTCGTGCCGAGCAAACCAAATTAGCGGGGCGACGGGGCGACCGACAACAATACAATGGCACAAAGCCACCCATGCTCTTGTCATGCTGCCATGCCAAAGCCACCATCGTGCGTGCATCATGCAGGAATACCTGAACACACCTGGAGAGCTTTGTGCCAACTGCAATCAAGTGCGCACCGGCGCTTTCTGCTCGGCGTGCGGGCGCCAGGTGCGTTTTGGCGCTTCGGCGTCGACCCGATATGATACGAGTGTCAAGCCGCACGCCCGGTATGTTATGCGCTACATCGGCGAAAATTTGGCTACGAAGGTGCTGCACGTGAAGCAAGCAGTATATAGTAGTCTACACGCCTTTGTTGCGGCTGCGTCTATTCTAAACCAGGCTGTCACAAAAGTCTGGGAGCTATGTAAGATGGGTGCCAAATGCGGATTTATGTGGATCCAACACACGACACGTAGTAGCTGGTCCTCCTCCGCAAGTCCCGTAACCTTCCATACATCACACACATTGTAGTCCACATGTATAATCTCTAGTTAAACTGTGGAACACGTTGTGTTCCACGATAGAGCCACAAGCGATAATTCAAACGAAGCTGGTTCCAGGCTTATCCGTACAGGGAGAGTGGTGAGCAAAAGATTCATTGGAAGGAAGGTAAAACATACAACGGCGTAGCAGTAACAGTATGGACTACAGAGTGGCCAAACAGGCTAACTTCGAAGTCACATCATTGTAGGAACGCCACAACTAACAGTGAAGGAGCTACCTTAGTTCTTTCCCGGGCCTGCAAATTAAGCGCTCCTCCACAGACCAATCATACCCTGCTGCTCTAATTTTGTGCCCCTTGCTGATGATGTTGGTACCAAAGATAAACCCGGCCCTCGGAAAGTTCGTTTGTCGACCTGCTCAAGGGAGCGCAGACCAGGCTTGGAAATCGTTCGGCTTTGCAAGTGCGCGTGCCTCAAGCAAACGAGCTCGAGCGGCGATTGGGTAAGCATGAGCGTAAATGGTGGTAAAGATAAGTGTAGACTCTCTCTACAGTAGTACGTCACCTCGGTCGAGACTCACTTTCATATTTCTGCCCCCGGCGAGCGAGCATAGGTGAGCATCGACTATGTATATGGGTGTACTGATGTAGGATGCACCGCTGCCCTTTCTGTCTCTTGACCCTACTTATTTTTTTGGGAAATTTAGCCTTGATTCAACAGACTCTTTCCGGGTACCGGGGTGGGTCGATCTGCATCGCTTGCTAGAGTGTGGCGTTTGACGTTTTTTCGTCGACGATGCCCCTGATTCGAGGTGGGCGAGGAGGAGAATACTCCAACATCGATTAAATCAATCGGCGTCTGTCTGCCAAGCAGGGGTGACTCTGTGAAACACGCCGCGAATCAGGCTCTGGCTGCTACCAGTAGAAGCATCGAGAAGACGGTGGCAAGTCCTACTCCGGAACAGGCGCATGTCATGGGCGTGGAATCTGTTGTGGAGGGGGTCGAATGGAATCTAAGCACGGAACAGCTCCAGGTACGGTACATATTGACTGTATTTTCGCGACACCTTAATGCCCATCGTCGTAGTGTTCGTCGGCATTTGTCTCGCTTAATGAACTCTAAAAGGTATGTATGCCAAATTCACCGTAGGAGTTGATCTAACACCGACCGATGCTGTTGATGTCCGTCGTCACGCCTCAAAGGGCTGGGAAACATTGTAGTGTTTGTCAAAAACCGTTCCTGTACACCAACTTCGTCTACCTACGCGCGCAAACGAGAATTTCAGCACCACACTCGAAAAGTAACGTAAGATTCGCATCTGCTGGTGAGACATTCTCCATCGTTGACGCACCATTTTACTCGAGGGAGTTTGGTGCTCCTCCGAAGGATCAAAAAGGTGTTTGCAACACTTTGCAGGGGGCGGAGACATTTCAGGAACTCTCCTTGCAACATTGTCTCCTCGCTCGACCTTGACGTTCTCAACAAAGAACCACCAGCTTTACGCCCTGAGCGATGTAGATTTCTCACCATTCAGGCACCGCACATCTCACTGATACGCAGCATTGTGCAAGAGACACTACTAGACCCTCGGCCATGGTGGACAGATGAGTACAGACGGCATGCTCGCTTCCACCGCATGGCCACCTATACGATTGAATCAGTAATCGGAGTGAGGTAGGCGAACACTAGACATGCCAACTCAGACGAGTCCCTTTCTTGGCCAATCGGCAGGTACTAGCCTTGGCTCGTTCTAGTGCCCTCCGAGGCCGGCGAAAGGTCTTCTCAAAGGCAACACCGAAAAGCCCGCTACGTGCGTCGAAGGTCACCGCCGCCGCACAGACCGCGACAGTCAAGCGTCGGTTGCCAAAAGGAAAGCCCAGGAGCGGGGGTCGGGCAACTCGCGGCGGTTTGGGGAGTCACGCAATAACCGGGAGACACGCAATCGGTGGTGAGAGAATAGGCACAAAATACGCACGGTTCTCAGGCCGTGTCCTAACGGTCTTTCGTGTCAAAGTCCACAATGATCAACATATATATCGGCTCTGTTGCCGGGAAAAACAATCGTTCGACCATTGTATGGTTCTGAAATTTTTTCTGTTATTTGTGAAATAAACATTGTTCCTCTTAAAGCCAGGAAATTAAAGTAGTGCTCGGATGAAAACATAGACATGCCGATATGTTTGTCTTCGATCAATCAGAGCTTGCTTTTGGTTTTGATTCTGACTTTTGGCACCTCGTTAATATCGGGCCCCCAGGCCTTATGCTTAGTCTTATTGCAAGATAGTGCACGCATGCGGTCTGATCCACAAAATGCCGCTGCCGGCTTGTTCTTTGCTTGTGATTCCACGCTCTAAGTCGGCCGCCTAAGAGCTGACAACGTACAGCTGCAGACCACTGTTGCTGGACGAGACTTGGAAGAGAGTGATTCTAACCATGTGCCTACAACGCAGCAGCAACAGCAGCAACAGCCGTCGGCATGTTCAGTTTTGGTCAACGAGGTGGGGAACCCTCCTTCTCCGAACAAGACGCTACAAGGCGCAGCTTCATTGTCGACCTTACACAGAAAGCGGCACCAAGCGCAGGAGAGGGAAGAAACGCGACAACAACTCGTGGCCATTGCTCGAGGAGGCGTTCGGTACGCCGGCAAGGTTTTTCATAGGAAAGGGGTGAAGTTGACCGAAGACACCCCAAGAAGCATGCTTCCTCGGGAGGTGAAAATCCAGGGTCCGAATTGCATCGAAGGAGTTAGCTCGGTCTTGTCGTTCCGGCAGCAAACGCTATAGTTTGAACGTGAACACTACCTTCTGCCACTAATTTTGGCATAAACCGACTTGAACCGAGGCCGAAGGTGTCTAGTGTGGCTCGGGTGGCTCTCTATCCGTGCACGCCGCCCTACTCTGACCGGTGCCAGCCCCAGAGGTAACCCTGGAACTGTTTCGTTGCGTTTGAGCCTAGTCCGTTGCAGCAGCAGTCCTCCGATTTCACGCTCATGCCCTTGCGTCTATCAACCTGATCAGGCGTTTCGAGCCTCGGGGCCACACCTTCTACGGAGAAAGTACGTTTCGATCGGCCGAGACGAGCACCAGCGGTTATTCGTAGCAGAGCTCTCAGCAATCGTTCGCGTAGCCTCCTTAGACACGAATGGTAGCGCCGAGGGAGCTCGTACTGCCTCAGGAAGGATCGATACGCCTTTGCTTGACTTTCAGCGGTGAGCAACGGAAAGGCACGGCGAAACAAGATCTTTATGGCTTTCTATTCACGTCGTCTGCATCGTCTGTCGGCTCCGCTTACATGTAGAACTCCGCGAAGTGGCGCCAATCCGAGGATCTGTAGTTTGGTGTTTGTGGCATCCACTCGGGACTGGATGCTGCGACGTGTTACGTGCCTATGGATTGTGTCTTCCTCTAAAAATCTCCCTTTCGGCCGGGAATTTGACCGGCCAAGTTCCCTCCCTTCTCTCTTCGACACCCCGTTGTCGCGTTCAACAAACAGCAGCCTCGACCGTCCCCAGGCGGTAGCGGGTGCCCATCTCGCGGAGGTGTCATGCGTGTGTGATCGATTGAGGTTGGAGATACGTCCGCCACTACAGCAGTGCAGACAAGCTCTACTACACCGCGAAAACACGCCCATTGCATTGGGAACAACATCTCGGTCGGATAGGACAACTACGGACCCTGCCAATCGATGCGAGGGAAGAACGTCACACGTTGACGCCGCTACGGCTACGAAGGGATTTACGCTCACATGCATCGAGGCCCGAAGCGGCAGCGGCAGCGGCAGCGCTCTTGAAGAATCAGAACACCGAGTTCACGTTCCGCGAGCACCACCGCCTCTGCCCGATATCGCTTCAGGGCGTGCTCATCTAGACTCCGGGTGTACTGCTGCCTCAACCGACGGAAGGTGCTACCACCAGCGCCCCGCAGCGCCAGCGGTGTATGCGGTAGATCTCACGCACTCGGAGGTCGATGCGCTGGTCGGGCCGAGCTTGGCATGGAAGGATCCCTTCAAGGTATGAACGGCCATCTTGGAAGCATTATAATCGGGGGGGGCGGGGGGGTTAACCCTCTCTCGTGCCCCCTTTGACTCATCTTCCTTTTGGGGTGCTGTCGGACAACCTAGTACCATGGATCTTGTTTTCGCCCTGCTGCTGCACCGCTGCTGAGTATGTTGGGGAGGAGACAAACTTGAAGCGATCTTTGCCGCGGGGCTAGCGACGTGTACGGTGCTTGAACCAGATTTGATGCATCGTCCAGCTCTCAGCTGGATTTATATCTATTTGCAGAAAAGTATCTCGCAACTAAATACGGTGTAACTCCTATCCCTTGGTCTAGGGCTTGCTTTGCTCCTGGCCAGCGTATTCCCAGGTACCTTTCTCGAGAGAGTCATGCTGACCGTTCCACTGCGAACTCTAACACTTTGAAAACGCTCAAAAAGGAAGGTAGCGATACCGTCCGCGACCTCGAAGCTACCAGCTGGACCGCTTGCTTGGACTCCCTCTGCAGACGATTGCGGGCCACCGCGAAGGCGGTGGATGCTGGAAGAGAGGGGGCACTTGATGGCCGGCCACCGGTGGTGGGGAAGCAGGCGTTCGCCTCAGACAACACGGCCAGGTCGACCAGCGTAGACCCGTCGATAGGACCGTCCGACCCGAGCGATGATTCGTCAGCATTAAACGAAGAGCGCCCGCAACAGCGGTACCTACGAGAGGAGTTGCCGGTGGACACCGCCGTCGAGGGTCAAGGGTGCCCGGTGCCTGACACCGCGAAGAAAATGTTCTCAGTCGCCTCGCCCTGGGACGGGGACACTGGTAGTCTTGATGAGTCTCAGAACAGGCAAGCTGTCCAAGCCCTCCCTCTGCTACGCAGGAGGCCAGCCAGGCACAAGACGGGGGAAGACTTGTTTTGGCTTGACAAGACGATCCTTAAGGTCGGGGCACGAGTGCCCTGGGGTCGCTTGCACAGAGGGAGGTTTGCGAAGGTGCATTACTTTACTGTTCTCCGCAGGGATTCCACACAGACATAATCCATCAGAACCAATCACAGCCATTGGATGGGCGCGGCACGCACGCATAGCGTCCCAAATTTCTATAAGCTCGTGTTGTTCTGTGTTTTCATCGGCCGTATCGATCGTGGTCTGAATCGCATTCGCTCCCGCCTCCCGCTGTGTGCGATTCCTGGGGACCCCGATGCAGATGCTTTTCACGGTGAGCCTCGGGAAAGGCTGTCGCGGCTTGGACTTTGTCGCGACCAGCAACAGCCCCACGGCAGACCCCATGCTGAGAGGGTGCTGGGAGTGCCAGGCGACTGACCGCGATCTCGCCAGGTGGGTAGGTCTCCCCGTATCCACGTAAAGGCTTTGTGCAAATACCATACCACCAAAAAGAGGGGTTTCGTGAATGAGGCAACTTGTAGTCTTTTTGGGCCTATTTAGGCACAAAACGGCACAGACCGGGTTAGGTTTGGTCGCTTCAAATGATTTATCTTCGTGCTCTCTGCTCAATCATGGGTAGAAACCTGCTTGTCAAGATCAATGCCTCGCCCATTCCCCCCCTCTCCACGGTAAACCTCGCCCTGCCTCGTTCTGCGCGGTTGAAGTGGTGTGAATAAAGTCGGCCCCCGATTCATTTCCTCGCCACCTCTTCTTCTTGTTCCGTGGGGCCCTCAAAACCTGTCGGTTTCTCCTATCGACAACCACTGAAAAGTAGGTATCTAAGCCCGGGGCGGTGCGGTGCCGTTGAAGGAGAAACCCGCCGGCGAGTTAGACACGATTCGTATGACCCCCAGCGATGCGCCGCCGAGCTGCACGAAAGGGGAGAGCTGGTGTGGGCTTGCGCCGAGATAGCGCGAAAGGCTTTCCGGCTGGTGATGGTGGTTCCGGGAGGAGTTGTTCTGTCGCTTGCTGGCGCCCCTATTGCGGGAGGGAGGGAAGTGGCGTGGCCTCAGGTACGCTCGTGAATGCCGCCCAACTGTTACAATGGAGTGCAGCACGGTTATTAGCGACACTATCAAGACAATTTTTTCACCGTGAGGTAGGTCGTTGGTGCTCGAGTATTTTTCTCGGCAAGGAAGCCCGGTTGATTTCCCTCGGTTCTTGGTTGGTTCAGGGCCATCTGTTGTCCTTTCCGGCTGACGCGCAACGGTTGGTAGGATGTCGAGGAGGACAGAGCGCTGATCAAGGCCTCGATCGAGTTGCAACGATGGTGGCGAGGGTGCATCAGCCGGAAGCGCACTCGGTGGCTTCGCATGGAGCGCGAGGGAATGCGACGCTTGTCCCGACTGCGAGAACAGGCCGTAGCCGTGAAGAAGAAGACGGAATTGGAGGCGAAAGCAAAGTTGTTGCTTGATGAGGAGAGGTGAGAGCAAGGGAAGTAGAAGGAGGTGCCTGAAAGATGAAACCTATGGCATGGGTGTTCTTCGATATGAACGCGTTGAGATCGGACGGTAGGGAAGTGAAAAAGGACAAATCAAGGACAAGTTTGAAATGTCTTTTTAGACCAAAGAAAATGGAGGGCAAGAATCGCATGGTCGGGCAAAGCTGGAATGGGTCCTACATTGCCAACACTTTGAAGAACACTTGTCGTTCAACAACCAGCTTGTTTTATTGAAGCACTTTTCTCGTTCCGTTGACAGGCGAAACCGGGCACAGGTTGTGTTGGCAACCGCAGCGAGGGTTCAAGTGGCAAGGAAGGAGGTTTCCCGCCGACGAGCTGAGCAAGCAGCACGTCAGTGCCAAGTCGATCGAGACGTGGCCGCTGAACGGGAAGAAGCCGCCAACTCGATGCCGCTACGCCAGGTTGAATTACCTGCTGCGGCAGCCGATGATGTTGCGTTATCAGGAGGGATCGCCAGCGACGATCCTGAGGTCGGCATAAGTGCTACTGACACGGCGCCTGGTCTAGCTCGTCTCGAGACGGTGGTGACGATCGATGGCACAGAAGTACATTTGACCGCTCATGTTAAAGAGGTCGTGGATACCGACGCCGCCAGGGGAAGTGGGGACGGAGGCGAAGACCACAAGAAGCCACTCGAGATGTTGCTTGTGGCCGTCGACAAGAAATCCCGCAGGTCTTCCAGACTATCACTCAAAGCTCCCGATATCGCCGAAATTGTTGCTTCTCATCACGGCGGCGGTGGCGGTGGGGGCGCCAAGATCACCACGGGAGTCCAAGGAGCCCTGCGGGCGGTGGTGAAAAAGCTGACCGTGTTTAACAGCAGGAGGAAAGATCTGTTCATTCTGTCGTACAAGGGAAAACAAGTCACCGCACCGCACTAAGTAATAATCTTGGTGTGGGAGAACGAGGATACCGCGGTGTGCTTTTGTTGCGAGACTATGTAATGTCCAGCAGCATAATGTGTCGTGCTTGTAGTAGAGGCAAATATCGTCCGCAAGGCATGCAACGTGTTGGGTTGTGTTGTTGTCTTCATGTTTAGTCTAACAACTCATGGCCTTGAATTGAAGTCTTCGATACGCTTGTAATCCGCACAAGATTGTGAAGTTTTTTACGTGGTGCAGCGTACGCGCAGCCTTGTCTTACTGGCGCAGCGCATCATACACTTCCCGTCCCGCTCCTCCGACCTCAGATGTACCGCCGACAGCGGCCAAACTGCTGTCCACGTGCTTTGCGCCGTGTGCTTGTCTCCTTGCTTCCTGCGCGAACTACAAGTTGTTTGGATGCTGAATCGATTTCGGTTTGATAGTCGACTCCTATTGCTAGGAATCAAACTTGCGGGAGGTAGCGGCTGCGTGCATGTGGGTGCCCTTAGCGGGTTCTTGTTGCTCTTGTTGGATCTGGATTTTCATGCGCAAACAACAAACAACCTTATTCACCACGGGGGCACGCGGTTGACAGGGTTTTGTCCCCGAAAAGCAATAATAATGACGGAGGCATGTTTTGGCACAAAAATGAGGTTGAAAAAAATGGTGTGGGGCATGAGAGAGGGGAGTTGAGAGACACACGAGGCGAATAGCCAGCAGGAGCCTGGAGCTGCGGGCCCGGTAGTGCCCCGTTACCAACAATGTGAGAAAAAAGAACCAGCGTTACGTACCCCCCTTTTTCGTGACACACGAAACGAGGTGGATTTGGTCAAGGCGTAGTTCATACTGGTATTTGATGTTGTCTGCGACACACGAAGGATGGTCGTCGCACTTTGGTGTCGCATTTTTCTCCCTTACACCTTCTCTTTTTTAGGCTGCTGTCCAGAGGTTGAGGCGGCGCTTTGCCTTTTGCAAGATCCGTGCTGGGTCAGGTGGCCCACGATTCCCTTCTCTCAGTGCTGCTAGTGGTGCTCTCTTCCTTTGGTGGGCGTTCGCTCCGGAGAGCAGCAGATCGTTTTCATCATCTATCTTCAGAGCGGACCCCTTATACAGTTTTTTCAATACACACTCGCTTGTTATCGAAAGTTTACCTCTTTAGCCTAGGGACCACATCGGGCGTCGTTTGCCCCCAGGCCATACGAACCGAGCGGGCCTCCCAAGGGGCACCGCGGCTTTCCCCCAGTCGACCCAGTCCAGCTCGCGCGCCTCGTGGATTTGGTCGTGTGTGTTGTGCAGTGTGTTTGCGTAACGTGCCTGCTGTTGTTATTCTTGAGAAATGACATTCGTCATCCGTGTTGAGGAACAACGTTGAATCACCGATGCGCGGTGCCAGCGAGGGATGTAACAGAACCATGTATTCCCCGGAGTTGGCGGGCGACCGATCCCGGAAGCAGATGAAGTTGGTGGCGCTCCCGTACTCGTGCTTTCGTTTCAGTCCCTGCTTGCTGCTGGAAGATGCAGGTCTCACAATCACGAGTCTTCCTTTGACGAAGTGGCAGCAGTGTAAGTCTCCACGCGGTTTTTTGCAACGCACGAACCGTTCGCGTGTGCGCGCCTCCCTCTTGTGTAGCTCAACTCCGGGTTGGGTGGTAGTAGTAGTCGCCGTGATGTGGGTTGAAGTGTGGCAGGGAGCGTGGGAAGGCTGTGAGTCCGAGCGAAACAACCGTCTCCGTATCTGAAGCAGAGCGGTACGTCTCACAATGAGAGAGAGAGAGAGAGCCATGTACAGTGGTCAAAACTATATACAAGCAAGCCTGAACACAATTCCCAGCTTGATTTAAGCTGCGGTCGTGACGCCAAACGAGTTCAAGAGTCGACAGCAACTGCAGGTGTGCACCGGGTCAGGAGTTTGCATGCACGAAGACAGCTTCTTGCTGGTCCCTGCCCGGAAGATTAGGCGTGGTGTGTGATTCGTACAAGATACTCCTTTTGCAAAAAGTTGTTCGTGCGTCTCGGAGCGCACGACGACGAGCGGGGGATTACCTGCCACTGCTGCGAGAGAACATGAGCGACAAGATAAAATTTAAGATTTGCTCGAGTGCGAGGAAGGGCGACGCTCGCTGCTCCACCGCTATTGTGTGGGATGGTTCCGCAAAGGAGCTGGGGGCGCTAATTTCCTCGCCGTTGCTGTGGAGAGTCGTTCACTTTGTTTTTCCGTTGTTTGGACGTGTCAGCGACGATGCGGCTTCTTCCCCAACCTCTGAACACTTCGCCTACCTTCGATCACTTTCGCTACAAAATACAACGCAGTGTTACAAGGGTAAACGAAGCCCTCACCCCTGTCCCATATCTCTACAGCCCCCGATACTCTCGTATTGCCTCATTGTTATGAAAACGCCCTTACATACCCCAAGTGCTCTCTTGTTCACGTACACCCAGCACGTACGTGGCTTGAATCGAACGGGCGTTACAAGGGTAAACGAAGCCCTCACCCCTGCCCCTTATCTCTACAGCCCCCGATACTCTCGTATTGCCTCATTGTTGTGAAAACGCCCTTACATACCCCAAGTGCTCTCTTGTTCACGTACACCCAGCACGTACGTGGCTTGAATCGAACGGGCGACTGGAGCAGGAACGCGTGGTTGCCGCCTCTCGAGGAAAGGATGAAGCTGGAAGCCGCCGCGGCGGTGCTCGGGGTGGCCGTCGACGCCGACCCGGAGACGCTCAAGGCGGCCTACCGGCGGCTGGCGTTGAGATGGCACCCGGACAAGTGCAAGGAGGCCGACGCAAAAGAACGCTTTCAGGAGGTAAGGGGGTGGGGGCGAGCTGCGGTAGATAGGTACTACGGACGCATTTTCTTTCAATGCGGGTATCTCGCCCTCTGTGCACATCTGCTCGACGCCTGCTGTTGAGGAAGCCCACGATACCAATTCAACTCCTACCCAACACTACGGTCGCCTGCACTTTGGCGCATGAACCAAGCCGAAAACTAACGTTGGCAATGTCGCGTGCTGTGCTGTGATGGAAGGTGTCCGTGGCGTACACGCGCCTCGTATCTGGGGAATCCGGACGGGATCATGACGGCGACGGGTGAGCAGCATCGTATGTAGCTCGTTTTCCTGTGTGAGTACAGCAGTGCATCACGCGCAATCTTTTCACGCGACCCGGTTCGATTTCCCAGAGCTTGATAAGCGATCCAGGCAGGCGTCGGGGCGTCGAGTGCGTTTGTTCCGTGCACCCTCGTGTAGCGAGCGAGTGTGTTGAACGAGTTTGGAGTGAAACGCCGTTCTCCGCAGCAGGGCCCCGACCCGCAGGGTCTTGGGGCGACGTGCCATTATTTCGTGTTTTGCTCTATCTATACATGTTGATTCTTGCTTGCACGTTTGGTGTGTATCTTGACGTGTGTTTCCTGTTTGGGTATGTATAGATTGTACCGCTTTTTTTGCCTCCGGCCGTCGATGCGCGATGAACAAACACGTGGTGCTGTTCCGGTCTTTGTGTTGGAAGCAGGAGCGAGCGTTTCTATGACGACGTTGACGAGATGCGAGCCTTCATGTCCATGTTCATGGAGCTGGTGGGAATGTTCGGCAGCGACATACCCAGCATGCCGAACGGCTGCGGCCCCGGATGTAAGGGAGGGCACGTGCAGATGCCTTCAGGTGACAGCGTGGGCGAGCGAACGTGCGAGTACGGCAGGCCGAAACAGTTTTGCGAGCGACCAATAACTGCTGGTGTTCCTTCGGTGTGCACCAGCTTGTGTAGCGCATCGCGGAAGAGAACGGCGACATGTAGATACAGCAGTGCTTTTTCGGTTTGGTTGGTTGAGGTTGGGCTCTTCGAGAGCATAAACACGTAGTCGTGTGCGTTGATGCTGAGCTTGGGAAACGCCACAACTGGCGCAGGGCCAGCATCCCACCCCTAGGAAGAAGCGGGCGGGGCTCGGCTCGAAGCGAACGCTGGTCAGATTTTCCACGTGGTGTTCGATAAGAGTTTCATGAAAATACGGGTCGGCACCACTGTGATGAAACAGCGTTTTAGTTTTTGGCCTCCGAGTTAGGAGCAGGCAGGACGGCAGCCTTGGTGTCACCACGGCGCGGGCCGGTTCGCACATGTCTCTTTTCGTCTTTCCCCGCTACCGTACTCGTTATTAGACCTTTGTCTTTGTTCATGGCGACCACCTCTCTTCCTTGCGATCGCGCCTTTTCTCTCGCCGTTTCGCTGTTTAGGGATGCCGCCAGACATCGCAGATATGCCCAGCGCTAGCGTGGCGTTCAGCATGATGTTCGGCGAGAGGCCACAAGAGGAGGTGCGCGAATGTCGACGGGCTGTGTGACGGTTGCGTGGTGATCGATGATTATGTAACCGCGAAGAGGGCCGGGGAACCCTCCCCAACGTTGCCCCTGGAGTGCTCGCCTTCCTATATTATACGTGTGTTGATCGACAAATTAATAAATAAACTCACGCACGCGCTCTCGACGCGTAGCTGTTGTTTGCTTCGCAAGACCGCTGTTGTACCCCTTCAAGCAGCGAGGTAAAGGAAGCCCGATCAATCTCACGACGAACCGCTTCTGTTGCTCGGATGGTACTGTACGATGCGTTTCGTGGTGGACCGTTGGCATTGTAGACCTGGAGCAGCGAAGAGGAAGAGGGGGAGGGCATAGAGAAATACTACCACCACGACGAGGAAGAATTCGACCTGGATGAAGGTCAGTGCTGGCGGCCGGAAAAAGGAAACGACGTGAACGTCTTTCGTGTGTATGTGTGTGTACGTTTTTGTTGGTAATTGCATCGACCGCGCAAACCAGTCTCAGTGCAGTTGAAAAACAGAAACTGCTTCCAAAGTCTATGATCTTGGACCCCATGAGGTTGTCTTGCCGATGGTGAAATAATTGTCCTCTCCGTTGTGTCTTTGACTTAGTACCAGACGGTTAAAGCCTCCTTACTGTGGGGCTTCGGGGGTCATGGAGCCTCCTCTCTCGCGCGCTTTTCCCCGCTGATGAGCGAGGATTGACCCACAACATTGATTCAGGACCGGACCATATGTCCCATGTCACTTCACCTCCCGCCCCTTGCTCTCCTGAACGCGACCCTTCTTGTCCCGCGAAACGCTCATGCCTTTTTTCCGTCTCTTTATCTCTTCGTTGCGTGCGCAAAATACGCCAAATCATGAACCATAAAAGACTGCGAACCAGAGCCGGACACCCACGGGCAGCAGCAGCAGCAGCAACAACAACAGCAGCAGTGCGCCCAGCGCGGGGACGGTTGTGGCGAGGCTGCCGGAGCGGCCGGGTCGGCGTCGGCGTCGTCGGCGTCCGCGGCAGCCGTGGCCGCCGCTGCCGCCGCCGCGGAGGCGTTCAAGGCCGGGGCCGCGGGTGCCGGGGGCCCCGCCGAGGCAGGCGGAGAGTGCCTGTGGGAGCCGATGGTCCGCCACTACTTTCACATGAACCTCAAGGTATTTCTTCTTCCCCGCGTGATCGAAAAACTATTGTCGGCGGGTGTTTGTTTTCTTGGCATTCAACGTACGGCAGGTAGGTCCTGTCTGTGTGCATTCAACGCACGCGCCGTACGGTAGGGGTTGAGAGTACCCTTTTGTCGCGGATCGCGTGATCCACTGCTAGGTCGCTCGCCCTTTGGAGACGCATGTTTTCTCGCCCATGCTCTGATAAGTTCATCTGCTTGCTGTTGTGTATTTTACTCAGGAGGAGGTGGAGCAGCAGCGGGCGGCGGGGCTAGGCGGCACAAGCGGGGGTACAAGTGAGGCGGTCCAGCTCGAAGAAGAGGTAGGGGGGGGGGAGCACTCATGTTTTGCATGCCTTAGCGGTTAGACCATTGACCACGCGTCCCCGGGAGGACGGAGCATTGTTCCCACAGGACCGATGAGGCCAATGGTTCCTTCCTTCTGGGTGGGGGTGCAGGTAGGGGTGAAGCGAATTCTCCATGACAGCAACAGCACCCTCACACCACTCATGGGCGCGCGTTTGCGTCGCTCTTCCGAGCCGAAAGACATGAGTGTGTGGATGGACAATTTCCTTTGTAGTAAAAAATTACTGCTGGTGTTACTCACCGCCGCGGACGGTGTCGCAGGATTCAATTTTTTTTGCTGGAAACCGTTTCGTGTTTGTGAGAGATGTTTCGTTCACGCCGCGCCGTTGTTGTGAAAGCAGCTGCTCTCTCTCTCTCTCTCTCTCTCTCTCTCTCTCTCTCTCTCTCTCTCTCTCCTGATTCTTCATTTTCGATTGGTCGGTACGGTACCGCATTGGCGGCGGGGGTGGGGGCGGCCGGGCACAACGCAGGCGTTACGGCAAGCGCGAGCCCTGAAAAAGCGGCAAGATAAGAAGCGGCGGCAGAGGGAGAAGAAGCAGCAGAGGGCGTCCGCTGCTAGGGAGGCGGCGGACTTGAGGGATGCGCAGCAGGATGAGGTGTGTGATCTTGGCCACGTACATGCTTCCAGGAGGACCGAGAGGTTGTGGGCGCAGAGGAGGATATGTGCGCGATTGAGACACGGCCGGGAGTCTCGCTACTTGAACGAGGGCAGCGTCAGGCGGTAGAGGGAGCTTAGTATGTTAAGTTGCGCACACGGTTTGGGACGATTTGAGCTATGGTTACCTGGGGAAGAGGGTGAGCGGAGACGATCGCATGTACGCGTTGGGACGATTGGGCTATGTTTACCTGGCGAGTAGTATGAGCAGAAACGATCGTAGGTACGCGTTGGGACGATTTGGCTATGATAAGCTGGGGAGGGGTATGAGCAGAGACGATCGAAGGTACGCTTGAGTGATGGAGGTTCTCATATGAATCTGCGCGATCGGCAGCAGCTGTGGTGATGCGTCCCTGCACGTGTTGGGCACGTGCTCTCGTCATTCCCGTTTCCGTGTCTAGCCTCGTTCTCGTTATTTCCTGCAGTCTGACCTTGTTCCATTGGTGTTTGCATTACCCAGTACCGGCGCGTCTTGGTCGTTGGGGTGTTGGGCGGTTCCTAAAGTTTGACATTTAGACGCCCCATGCTACGTCTTCGTTTCCTCGATTGAACCACTGTCAATAGTAATGGCTACACCTGCCCGTCAGCAGTGGCTGCACCTGGTTACCCTTGCTGGTTGGGTTTGTGGCGATTTGTTGCTACTTCTGGTAGGTGTGCGCCAGGTTTCGCGCTCCTTAATGCGAGTTTTTATCCAACTCTTTGGTGTCGTTTTTTGTTCTCTTCGTAGTCTTTGATGTGGAGGACTTTTCTATGTCCTTTTCTTGTAGGAACCCACCCCTCGGTACTGGAAAAATTCCAACGTTGCTACTGCTGTGTCTTGCGATTGGCTGTTGCGACCAGGGGAAGAAGGACGAGGAAACTAGCGTGGCCGACAAGCGGAAGGAGGTTGTTCGATTGAAGAGGAAGGCCGAGGAGGAAAGAAGAGTGGGACTCTTCACGGCGTGTAGGGCGGGCTTTGTGGAGGAGGTGAGATGGCCGCGGCAGCAGCAGCAGCGGCAGCAGCAGCAGCGGCAGCAGCTACGTACTGCTGTTCTTGTGTGGCTAGCCTTCGTGTTTCATGCTGCGGATTCGGTGACGAGTGTTTGGAGGTCCTCGTATAAGGACTTACCGCGAGCTGTTCGCGAGCAGCCCGAAGTTGATTTTTCAGCAACATGTTGTCGTGTCGATCGCCGCGGGATCGAAACGGCTTCTCTGCTGAACGAGTTTTTTCAATTTTCGCACGCAAGCATCTCTTTGGTTGGAGCTCGGAACCAGATTAACGGAGATTGAGAACCCATGGCGCACGAAAAGCCTTGATGAACGATCCCATCGCGCACACCAAGCCTTTGGCGTGGACGACCCCCCCCCCCGAACCGCAAACATTTTCGACACCCCTGGTCCCGTTTGGTTTCGGCCAAGGTGCGACTGATGCTCGGGACCGGGCTTATCCGGTGCACGGAGCGAGAGCGAGAGAACGGGACGTCGGGAGCGTCGCTGCTACACTCTTGTGTGACGGACTTTGCCGGCAGCCCGGACAACGCCCCTCAGCTCAAGGAGCTGGCAGTCGATCGCCTCAGCATCGCGGCGGTGCGTGTTGTCGGTTTCGGTTGTTGGTGTGATGTGCGTGTTTGCATGTGTCATGGTATTGATGTACGCGTCGCCTACCCCCCCGCGCCTGAAATATTGCCTGTAGTTCACAATGTTGCAAGAGGTCTCCTGTGTGTTCCACGTCCCCACGGGACATGAGAGTTGTGTTTTTGTGCGTGCGCTCGCGACAGCCGGCGATCGAAGGGTTTTTGTCCTTTGCTGTGGTGGTCGTGCCAGATTCCGGTATCACCCCCCCCCCCCCCCCCCCCCCCCCCCCCCCCCCCCCCCCCCCCCCCCCCCCCCCCCCCC